TCCGTAGCCACCCGTCCAGCCCACCGAAGCTGCTATCCAGTAGCCACCCCAGCGAGACCCATTTCCATGCTGCCACCCCGTGCCGCTCCAGACCGAGCCACGCGTAGCCTCGCCGCCGCCATCGTGCCCGTGTCGTCGAAATCATTTCCAGGTGAGTTAACGCTCTAATCCCTTGATTAGTACGTTAAACTTGCTTAGGAGTATATTAGACTAAGTAAATTATGCATAGTGCTAATTAATGATGGATTAGTTGATAAGCTATCGCAATAAGTAATAGGCGGAAGTGATAAGCTATCACGATAGGTGATAAGTGGACTTGATAGGTTATCGAGAAAATGCGAAAAGCTATCGTCAAAGGGACGATAAGTTATCGGGTATTTCTTGATAAGCTATCACCAAAATGGTGATAAGCTATCGTGGATTAGGTGATAAGCTATCACCGAAGGGGTGATAAGCTATCGAGAATTGGATGATAAGCTATCAGAAAATAGGTGATAAGCTATCGCAAAATAGGCGATAAGCTATCGTTGGTAAGGTGATAATTTGTGATTATGTGTGTTTTGTGCTTGAGTTATGAGATGAGCTATGCATGTTTTATGTTTTTTAAAGCATGAATTGCCATGAAAAATGGTTGCTTTTTTAAAAAGACTTATGTTGCTATTTTAAAGAATGGTTTTATGGACATATAAATGGTAATTCGCGAGGAGTCGTGTTTGGATGCCATGTTTTATGTGTCAAATGGGGCAAGGATGTTTTAAAATGAGAGTGTACAAATTTTGACAGGTTAATTATACGTGCGTGATCACGTGTGATTATTTTATTGCATTTTTACGTGTGAAAGTTGCAGTAATTTGTTGTATGAGCACGAACCACGTTTGCATTTGGCTAAATTCTGAGATATAAATGACTTGTGTGATTGTTGTACTCGTGTGATCACATAAAGGAACCTGTCATCCAACGGGGGTCGGGGGACGTTGCCCAATTAAGTTCAAATGCCCAGCGGGGGTCTGGATGCCGAGTCGCGGTTGAGGCCGGGCCGATGCTTTTAATTGAATGCCGTCTGGGCAGGGGTTCTAGATGATGCCGTGCCCGATGGGGCAGGACAATGCTCGGTCATGCCAGAAGACCGCCAACCTTATGCTAGTAACGCGGGTTGTGCCATGGCCCTATGAAGTCGTAGTAATCGGAACACGCATGAAAGAGTGTGGATGCATTGCGTCTGATTATGAGACGAAATTGTGAGGCATGGTATAGGACGGGCCAAAACGGTTTCACCTTATAATCGGAACTCGTGTGTATGTCTTGTGCATGGAAATGCTAATACATGTTCTGATTATATTATATGCTTGTTGCATTATGATTGCACATGATAGTTTATAACGTGTTGAGTGTGTGTGCCAAGGCAAGATAAGAATGCCTGCGATTGTTTAATGGCACGTTTGTTTATGCTGGGCTGGATAGCCTGCTCGTGTGTATAGTTAAGGCAAAGCAGGGTTTGCTTTGCTATTGATCTACCGTCGATGTGTGGCTGCATGTTTAGGTGCGCCCGAGGTGAGTTGACTTCCTCATCGAGGCTTAGGTCGTTAATTTACTGAGATTTATCTCACTTGTTGTTGTTAACCATTTTTCAGGTGCTCAGGTATGAGTACGCGTTATATTCCATGGGAACCGGCTATTTTGAGGGAGAACACCTTTTGAGGTTGTCCACGTAGATAGAGGAGCTAGGTTTACCCCTTACCTTTTGTGATTGTAATCGGGAAGGTCTGCATGGTGGACTTGTAATATATTAATTCCCGATGTACTGCTGTTAATGTATGTATATATATTTGTTGTATATTTTCCTGTCTATCCCTGTTGTTGTTGTCTAGAGATGTTGTGCTTCCGCATGTGCATAATTGAAAGTTAAAATGAATGGGTCGGCGACGCGTCCTGGGACGTCGCAATTCCACGACTAAGGAAGGATGTTCGCGCGCTCTAGAGTTCGGGACATGACAGTTTGCTCCATGCAATATTTAGTATTAGAATATTTAAATATTAAACAACATCTTCATTTAATAGCTTAAACGTTTAAAACAGTTGACACCGATCCCACAAAATCTCATATGTTATCAAAGCAGCTCTGCTTTTTTTCTAAAAAAATTTTCGAACAAACTATGGAAATTTAGTGCTTATTTGTTGTGTCGGACAATAATTTCGCAACTAAAATATAATGGGTCGCGTCCAATTTGCTTCCCTGACCATTTTCGGAATTACAATTTCAAAATAATTAACTTTGAATTAACCGAAAATAAATAGACACGGCTATAATGAATGCATAATTTCTAGAGGCTAATGAATCACCAAAAGGGCACAAATTTAGAGAGGTTAGTAATTTTGTGAAGTCATCGGTAACATACTTTTATATCAAATTCATTTCAATGTGGCCCAAATGTCTTATGTGCAAAAAAAGTAATCACAACTATTAAAGTAAGCGAATTGCAAATGGCAATAGAGAGTAATGAAGGTTTTACGTTCATTTAACGCGACAAAAAAAATTCTTTTTCTTTTAAAATTTTTCCTTAGTCATATGTTAAATGATAACATGGATGTATGGGTCCTTTGTAGCACAACCACAAATTCGAATTCGTACAAATACAGGACAAAAATAGATTTGTTCATTTGTGCATGGAAGGATTGTATTCGGTATACAACACCTTTAGGGCTGTGTTGGGTTTGATACTCCTATTTTAATTTCCTTATTCATAAATTTAAATAAATTTAATTTAAAAAATTCGAAATGCAAATGCTTAAATTTTTTTTGTTGAAATAGTTAAGAACAATATTTAGATTAATATAAGTAAGTATCTTTAAATAAATCAATATATTTTAGATATTTTTATGAAAAATACTATTGAAATGAAAAGGTGTTCAGAAATATGAGGAATAGTGTTATATTGAAAACTTGTGAATGGTATAGAAAAACTGACTTGACCTTGTATGGAGATGAGAGTAACTAGATTGAACAAACTGAAAGTTTAAGGAACAGATTGAACATTTAAGAATAGTTGAAAGATCACATCGAACTATTTAAAAGCTCGAGAATGACATTGCACATTTCGCGATTATTAGTGCCACTCTCTCATGACTTAAAAAAGAGAAAATGTTCACAATGGATTTGAATCGACTTTAGAAATCACAATTACTAAGTTGGTGAGCTAGATTAATTACTTTAGCATAAGAAAGCGTATCCACCGCATCATCAAATAAACACACGTAGTGCAACGGATCGCATGTCGACAAGTCCATCGACAATTAACTCACTTTAGCATGTGAAACGATAAATGTGTTTGACGCCTGATGAAATCTCAATGCTTCCATTCGATAATCTGAGATTTTCGGTGTCAGAAAATCGATGAGGAAGCCGAGGGTCAGGACCATCGACATCTAGTACCACGATTTGCATATTGTGCGCATGAAATGTAGGTGGGGGAAGAAATTGAACTTGGAAGCTCTAATCTTGGTGTGGGAGACTAGACAGAGTCGCTTTCCAGCACTCCTTTCAAGTCAGAAATTGATCCACAATCTCTCCATCAATTCATTTTTGGTCCTTACAATGTCGCACATTTAACTTGAAACTTTCATTCTGGTCCCCTAATTCACGGATCGAGCGAATGGTATGTCAGTGAGTGACTGTCGCTTTCATTCACAAAATTTTCGTACTGAACTCTACGAGGCCCTTGCATGCTGTTGCTTTCAAGCGTACAAAGCAAGTTCCAAGATAGAATCTAGAACTTGAGAATCGGATTAGTGAACTTGTCAGTTTCAGATTTCAGAGTATGCAGGGTAGGTTCCAGGTTCTAAAAATTGGGAAACCTGTTTTGACGAGGAAGTTCTAGATTCTAGGTAAGTTGAACCTGAAACTTAAAACTTGAAACAAGTTTTCTTGATCTGTGTCTTCACTCGATCTGCGGTATTTCATAGTGTCCGATGATGAGTGTATAATCTAAAATCATTAATCTGAGCTTTCATTTTATGACCAAGACTATTGCTTTGTTAATGTTTCATATTCTTGGTATGACTAAATATAAGTTTTAGTCAGTGGATTCTAGCAGCAAATAGTGGTCATTAAATGTGACGATTACAGGTGGAACCTGGGTAGACTTTGGAACCTGTGACAGTTCCAAAGTATGCATGGTAAGTTCCAGGTTCCAAAAGGTGAGGAACCTGTTCGCACGGGTGGAACCTAAATGGAACTTAGAACCGCTCACCCCTAATATATATCGACAAACCGCAAATTGAGAGCGATGTTTCAATCGAAAACTACCCCGGGCCGTCGAATTCAAATGAATTCGATGACGATTGGCGTTTCGTGGAGCCGGTCTTCCGGAGTCGGGTCCTTTTCGGCAACCGGAGGATTTCTCTTCTAGATGATCTGGAAACATATTGGGAATAGGCTATAAATCAAAATTGCCTTTGCTGTGGGTCCAACAATGGTGAGGGGAAATGGGGAAGGGGGGACCATCCTTATGCTTTGTCTTATGGGATACTAACTGATGGGGAAACTCCAAAAGCAACTAATTCTGAAAGAGTTTGATGCCATTTCTTCGAATTCTACTGCTCCTGCTGTGAATTTATTACCTATTAAGTCTTCTTGACATGATTGGTATCATGGAATACAGATCAGTTTTCAGATATATCCATTACTTTTCGCTCTACTCATTCAGCTCAGAATATATTTGAGAATAATGGTTTTAAAGAACATTATGTTTCAAGTTAGGTCCTCCCAACTTATTATATCTGAAAGACTGATCATCTATACATGCTCAAGGAAAAGAGTTCTCTGAGCATATTTGATCTGCAGCTTTGTCAACAAGTGTGATTAAAATTGAAAATGTCTACATACTTTGTGACCCAAACATGTCACAAACACATAATCTGCCGATCAGGCAATGAGAAGCAAGCATTCTGAAGTCAGAATTCTACCACGAACGAACCAGACAAGGCAGAGAAAATAGAAAGCATTCTAAAAGCTAGAAGCTCTACTGGAAATAAATCAGACCACAGGGGCAAGTGGAGGGACCTTAGAGCAGTTCGAAAGTGAATTAGTTGCAACAAGTACTTGAACTGTAAGCTGTGCATACTGCAGTCAAACAAATCTAGCTAAACCTATGTCAAACCACTGAATCCTAGAATGGTAGGAATCAGGAGCAACCGGGAGTTAAGAGGAGAATGCTTTCTCCTCTAGTCATGGAGAAGTGACTTGCTTCAGCAATCTGCTCGAACGCCTTATTGGAGTGATAACCACCTCCTCATCTCCATTTCGCTTCAATCAAAGACAAACACCGACAAAGTGAGATTAGCTCTTTCATGTTTACATATAGACATCATCATACTGGGAAAGGTCAGTAAGATACTTACGTGCTTGCATGCGATCTTCTCATATGTGGTAAAGCTTCCGTAAGAGTGGGACCCCATCGAGAGTTCTGAAGAAGAAGAAGCCAGCGATTCCCTCCTATAATTCTTCTTAAGTCTCCTCTCCTGGCTTTGTGCCTCATCGGCACCCTTTAAACCCGTGCCAAGAGATGACTTCTTCTGGAAGCTGCTCATTTCCGAAGGGCATGATTCTCCGGCTATGTCAACCTCGGTAGGACAATTTGGAGAAGACCACCTCTGCCACATCGTATGCTCCACACTTGCTGACACAGGACTGATGTTAAAATTCTTGGTCGCCCATGGCTGCTCCACTGGAGTTGGAACACTCATGGAACTGCTTGCTTTTTTCACATAAAAGAAAGCCGCGGCTGCTGGTAGACTAAGACCCACCAAAGCGAGTCCCACCATAACAAAGAGAGAAACGTTGCTTTCAGATTCCACAATGGTAGAATTCTCTGCCTCCGAACTTTGTGAGTTCATTGCCACATCGACCGCTTCGATGTTTCCTGAGCCAATGACTGTTTTCTTGTCGGAGTCACTTTCATCACAATTAGAAACATATTTCTCTCCTTGGATCTCTGCTCCAGCTTGAACTAAGTCAGGCTTCTGTTGCTCCTCGTTGCCAGTCACAGACGTAGCCACAACCACAATCTCCTGGAATTGCTCTTCCTCTGGAAATTCTGGTTCAGTTACTTCAGACCGCAACTCGAAATCTACGAGTTCAGTTACTTCCCCATCTTCAGCTACTTCTTCTTGCCATGCAACAACTTCAGCATCATCAAGTTCAAGCTCGACAACTAGGGCCCCTTCAATCTGAAAACCATCCCCCTCTTCAAGTTCTATAATAACCACCTCTTCAGATACCATTTTACGTACTGCAGCAACTTCGCCATCATTCTGCTCGACAAGTGGTGTTGCTTCAATCATCGAACCATCACCAATGTCCTTTTCAATCCACGGATCATCTTGCAAGTCAGTCAAGTTATAATAGCTGAAGCGACTGACTCGCTTGTCCCCCTTCAAGTGGTCTATCAGCTCAGAAATGTAAGACACTGAATCGCCATACAAATACCAGAAGTTCTGAGCAAGCTCGTCGAAATCAACTCTGACACTTTCAGCTAATTTAGAAGTCTCAAAAAGCTCGCTGAACCTCGAACCTTTGATGTAAGAACAATTTCTCAGTGGAGAATTAGCTCCCGTCATCGCCATGCACGCAACAACTGAAAGGACAAAAACCAAAGAAATGCACTTCGTTTTCGTGAAGAATCGACGCTTGGACACTTTCTTCACTTCGACGGCCTCTTTCACCATGTCAAGACTAGCTGCATTTGGGATGGTTTCAAACACTTCGTCCAAAAGCACCTCTCCATCACCATCTGCTTCTTTTTCCATCTCGGTAGGAGAAACATCCTCAGTTTCATCACTATCTGCTGCTTTTTCCGTCTCACTAGAAGAAACAACATCAGGTTCCTTTTGAGAATCATCAGATAGTGTTTCTTCAGTAAGATCAGTGTCTGAAAATCCTCCGGTGCAAAAAGCGTCGTCAAGAGGATTGCCGTCTTTTTCGTCGCTAAGATAACGCATTCTCCGAGGGCTCGGTTTGTAATGAAGAAATTGAGGCCTCGGTGAGAGGTAATTGAATTTGGGATCATAAGGCGGCATCAGCGGATCGGCATCAAGCGGTGCCAAAAGATTGCGCGGTGATCTGGGGGCAGGACTGGTCTTGAGATCCTCATTCACATCAGCACGATCTAACGTCTCCGAGTCATCCAGAGGGATTGTCTGTACGTTAGAGTCGAAAGCTACTTTCTTCTTGGAACCCTTTGATGATGAAGAAACTTCATGATTAGCATCCGCAAGGTCCGAATCAGTGACGGTTGAATCGCGAGAATCTGCTGCGATCTCCGCTTCCATTTCTAGTTTTGAGTTGGGCTCTTCTAGCGCTTCAGAGAGACTCAATGAACCGCAAGAACTTCCCAAGTCGGAAAGTGTGACAGAAGTTCGGACGGGCTCGTTCCGGTCCGTCAGCACCCTCTTCTTCGGCGAAGCATTGACTTTAGAAGCCGCGGAAATCGTCGGAGACATGAAATTCTTTGGACTCTTGAGGGGAGCTACCGATTTGATTCGCGCTTGTTTTGCGCTCTGATCCTTCCCATTCTCTTTATCCTCATGCTCTCTGAACGATGCTAAGCTTTCTCTACCCACCGAGAGTCTTCGCGGGTATTCTACGCATTGAGATAACAAGGAAAAATTAGCAGAGCTCACGACACAAAAGAACATAACGCACACAATAAGCTGTATACAACTCTCAACGGATTTCACCAGACTAACGCTCAAATCATGAGTTGTATGTACCCATCCGAGCACAAGGCAAAGAACATGTCGAATCATTGAAGAGAAACAGAAAATGCAAAGCGCTAGCCTACTCTGTTTCTGAACATGCTATGCTACTCATTATAGAAGAACAGAGTCCGGCATGAAAATCGCGGGGAGATCGTCATAAAATACCCAATTCAGATAGCGAACTCGAGGCATAACAAGCGAGACCCGAGAAATCTTGGGATAAACCAAAGCCAAGAAAATTTCATCATCTCTAAACCATGGCCTTTATGAGGAAAATTGAATCTTGAATACGGGAATCGGTCGAAAAGGAACCGAACCTGAGGGGCTATTGGCAGGAGTGACCGGGTTGAACCCTCTCGCGTTGGTGACGATCGCGGGCTTCGAAAACGGGTTGCCGCTGAAACTCCTCCTCATGGGGTTCCCGCCGGCCTCCGAGGATCTTGACCCGGTGTGGTTGTGCCTGGTCGGGTTAGGGCTCTGGCAAGATTTGCTCGAGGGCATGGCCATGGCGGGCGTGTTCGGTCGCGGCTGCCGGCCGGGGGGGGTTCTCTCTCTTCGAAAAACGCAAAGCTCGGGTAGACGGCTCGAACGGGTTGTGCGCTTCAAGTGCTCGAGATCGAGAGAGAGATAGAGTAAACGGCGAGTGAGATTGGAGATCAAAGTGGGATTCGATCTGGTTCTTGGTGCTTTTGATTTTTGATTTCCAGACGTTGCGTAACGGCTAGTTTCTTGATTGAAAGTGGATTGTTTTTCAAAATGCGGGGCTTGTGACCGTTGGATGGATTGGGAAAAAAAAACTAAAAAGGCAACGAGCCACGTGGGATATTCTCGTGAAAAGGAAAAAAAAACATCCCCCAAATTTGGAATTTGCTTTTCTCTTTTCTAGAAAAAAAAAACTAGCAAAAAAAATAAAAATAAAGGCACCACGATGCTTATGAGTTTGTAACTATGGAAATTAAATTAAATAGATAAAGACAAAGCGTGATACGAATCAATTTAGGTAATAAATTTCGATAAATTTCAAAATTTGTCGAGAATATCGATGATTTGATATGGATTTCGAATTTATGAGAGATTTTGTATGATCATACGGTCATAGGTACTATTAAATTATGAATTTGTCCGGTGTTAAAACAATATTACGGTTATCATTTATTGGATACCAATCTCATAGATATTATCGGAAAGTCAAATTTCGAGGTTAAAAGTGGTGTTTGGAGAGGTAAGTGCTGGTAAAAGATGAAAGTTCACTTTTTCTCCTTTAACTTGTGCACTTTTTTTTTGGTCATATTTCAATCAAGTACTTGAACTTGCATAGTTTTTCCAATTAAGTCCCTTCAGCTCCAAATCTAGTCACTTGGAGCCAATGTATTCGTCGGCTATCAGCTAATGCATGGGACTAGAAAGCTCGAAGGCGAAGATTACATCCAAACATCAAGAAATGAGATTTCTCAATACAAGCATGTAGTATTGCACTGGAGTTTTCCCCTTCAAAACTCTTATCGACCCAACAGACGGGTCAGCTCCAATCGTATCGATTTAGAATTAGACGGACCTGATTCAAGTAGTCGAGCACGTTTCAAGATTTGATCGGATGAATTAAAAGTTTTTATACTTGATTCTAGAGGCTACGCAAATTTAGGGATCAAAAGTGACATGTTACTTTAACTGAAAAAAAATTATAGATGATGGGACAATTTTAATTTTTATGAGTGAAGATGACAAACATAAGAGATAATATTATTAGGAGCGAAAACCTAATTTTTATTTTATTTATACCCAAATAAAAAAAGTTCAAGCTTCAGTGCAAAGCTTCGATGGTCAAAGTACGATATCATATTGATAGTTCTTATTCCTTGGTCTTATATCAGGATTTGCTGAGTGAGCACATAAGTTCTGAGATGTAATGAGGTCAAGTGATTTTCTAACATAGAATTTTTTTTTTTTCACATTTTCCTGGCAAATTTAGTATTTTACAACAACTATTCTTATATCCTTAATCTACACTAATATACAATTAGTAAAAAGATTTCTACTTTTAGGAACAATTCTCTCAAACTCACCCCTCTTCTTTTCTTTTGGAAAATTATAAACACGAGTCTAACTTTTCACCCCATGAAAAAAAAATACACATATTTCCCATTTTCAGAACTACAAATGATATACCTCTTCTCATAAAAATGTCCGTCAATTTATAATTTTGGATAGCAACGGAGAGAGGTGTCGACGGCGACAACGGTGGGGCGGGAGGTCGACGGCATTGTAGGACAATGGGTTTTGTGGATGGTGTTAAGCTAGACTTGCGAAAGAGATTGGAAGTTTAGAAATTTCCAGAGGGTCAATAATTTGGTCCTTTCAAAATGGGGATCTTGTCAAGAAATAGCAAACTGTCATTTGAAAATAAAAATATTTTTTTGGTCATCGGACATATTTTTAATATTTCCCCCCCTTTTTTATAGGGAAAAGAGGAACCTTTGCCTAAATAGTTGCATGCACACGAGGATTCACATATAGAATCGTTGCCAAACTAGACAAAATCACTTACTAAACACCCTTGATTATTGGGGCCACTTATTATCTTCGATTACATAGAAAGAAACATGACGAATGATAATCTGGACATAATCAATCATAGACGCTCATATTATTTTGTGCAAAATGAATCTTTTAAAAAACATATTTTTATAAAAACAATCGCTTACGAAAATATTTAGACAAAAATTATTGAAAATAATGAAAATATTTTTCGTTGATTAATTATTTCAAATCATCCATTTTTTGAAGCAAAATCAAACCACATTAACCAAAACCACGAGCTTAACTTGGGGACAGAGTGAGGCTAGTGACGCTTTAACTTGAGTGGCAAATTGGGTTTACTCTAAACACAACTCAGAATTCCGACCCCACTCGATGCTCAAACGTGGCTCGGCATCTTTGTTGAGCTTCAGTCGCCGACGAGGTAAGCTCGAATGGCTCATGAGTGCCGAACCTCATTCCAAAGCCTCGCGAATTGTCTGCTACGAAACATTGCTAAAAAATATCGCATATACGAAACATTGATAGAAGCCACACTTATATAGAAAGTAACCAGATAAGAGTATCAAACTGGGGAACATTATCAGTCAGCCAGAGAGTGGTCATATCATCACCATATCATAGGAGAACAGAAAACAGATAAAAGATATAGTAGAGATAGTAGTTGCTGTTTTGCGAGAGTACACAGGAGTGGAAACATGGGGACTACTCCTCTTCCTCTGCTTCTTCCAGCCATTTCACGAACGGCTCGAGAGCCTTCACAAAGGTTTGCCTGTTGGAGTTTCGAAAATCACACGAATCATGAGTAGGACTCCAAAATAACAGGAGGAGATTCGCATGAGATTCTTTGCACTTACAGCACACACTTCTTGCATCGAATTGAAGTAGACAAAGCAAGAGAAAACCCCTCGCAAGAGAAGACAGGGAACACAAAACAACACTTTCAAAAGTAAAGCATCTACCCAAGTTATGTGCTGTTTCAATCAATAGGAAACACCCGTCATTTCAAGCTTATATGTTTCTCATGCTAAAATTATGCGTTCAGAAAATTATAGATTTGGCCCAACTTGTCAAATTGCGGATCCTACACAAAATGTCACTAGACCCGGATCTAACGGTAAGCAAGGATTCTGATGGTGACAAGAAGTTCAGTTGAACTGCTTGAACAAAGCCTACTGCAGAATTGAATTGTCATATGGGAAAAAAAGACATTGTGTATTAGAAAGTGATCCCGACTTGGTATACAATACCAATAAAGATTGCATACCTGCCCTTGTTGTTGGACCCCTTGCGGAACCAGTGGAGGATGGTATCTTCAGCAAGCACATCCTTCTCGTACAGTGACCTCACAAGCTCAGGGAACAGCTTCATCAGCTTAGTGTCCTCATAGCACTGAGTTTGCACTTTGTACATAAGCTCCAACTGAAGTTTCCCGTTTGTACAGAAAACATTCAGAAGCTTTGCCCATATTTTGACCTGCGACAGCGTAAACAAATTGGTAAGTCTAAAGCCATCTTGAACCACTAACGAGTACTGTTGACTTTAACATGAAGAGAAGAATAACCGATCCCTTTCGAAGTACTGAAAAACATCACACCAAAGTTACAGGACACGGGCTACAATGGCAAAATGGTGATGAGCAGCTCAGTTTAGCTCCAGAACTTCCCTTTATTACAATTTCCTTTCTCATTTTTGGAGATTCAACTGCAAATCATGAGCCATAGCTCGGTTTAGCTCTAGAATTTCCCCTTATGTCAATTTGCTTCCTCGAAGTCATGTTTCACTGGTATTTATCAGCAGGTTAACTGGCTTTCCCTATGCTTCAATCTAATGTAGATTGATACCAGAGGAATTCGATCACTTTAGAGTGCATTTCCAACTATATGACACAACCATACAACAGAACAAACTATTTGTAGGAAGGAAAAGTTTCCAGGAGTGGTCTAATACATTACAGAATCTCAATACCAACTCTCCATGGAATCTAGTAAAATGGTCTTTCAAATATCACCAAACTGCCAGATACATGTACAAGAATGAAAAACATGAGCTGTGAATAGCTATTCAACAGATATCGAAATTATCGAACTACATATCCCATTACTTTAGTACCACTCAATGCCATCCACACCCAGACATTATAGATCTACCGAAGCAATCCAACAGGACAACTTGACCAGTCAATGCTGAGACTTGGATACAAGAATGAGCTATGGAGGTCCACCCAACTACATCAAGGATAAATTCGAATTAAAGTAATCATGGGGTCATCTTCTCTGGAAAAAAATGTGATCTCCTCGCAACAGATAACAAAATTATCCAACTACATTTTAATCCCATTACTTTAGTACCACTCAATGCCATCAACACCAGACATTATAATTCTACTGAAGCAATCGAACAGGATAAGTTATGCAGTCAATTTGGAGGCTTTGATACAAGAATGAGCTATGGTGGTCCACCCAACCACATCAAGGATCAATTCAAATTAAAGTAAACATGGGGTCGTCTTCTCTTGAAATAGGACGCTGATATCCTCACAAAAACGGAAAAAGGGCACATCATTAGGATAAGAAGTTGAGTACACATGAATATACACCTCCCGGTTTATCTGCAACAGGGTACAATAATCTGCCACAAAAGGGGGATAACTTCATCATATATCGTCCTTATTCTTTTCCAACTCTCATCTTGCTAAGACTCCCCTTATGACCTGCTTTTCTACCATGGAAGCACATCTCCTCCCTAGATCATCTTCTAAATGTCTCTTCACATGTCAAAACCACTACAATTGTCTTCCCTTATCTTATCTTCAGCTGGACCATGACAACTTTTTATGGGCATGCTCATTTCTAACTCTTATGTTTTCTTGAATATCCAAATACAGACCTAACCATCCTCATCTAGATGCACTCATCCAAGAGGAAATTGTTTAAGGTTCTCTTTTTCTTGTCTTTTCCAATAACTTGCTCAACTGTGCATCAGTCACAAAATAGATCACAAGGGTTTGGAATAATAATATAGTACTATTTTCAATAAACAAATGACAAAAGTTAAGAAAGAATTCCAGATTTTAGATGCCCGGCGGCACATTTATCAGAAAATATACCTGGCGCAGAGCTGAATTTGCATTCTGCTGCTGATTCTTCCCAGACCACTGGACAGCATCCATAATGACATCCCAAAGCATTCGCACTACCTCAGTGTCTGGCAACTTGGCATCTTTAACTTGCTGCTTCGCAGATTCAATGACTTCAGCAATATCAGCTTCCTCTGCTATCTGTGTTGTCAGTGCTGATTTCATTTCCTTCAATTTTACCTCAGAGACTTTCTTCTCATTGTATTCAACTAAGGCTACCAGCCCTTCCTTGCTGTGAGTAACAAATATCAACATCATATTAAAGGAAAATCCCAGTACAAAAAAGATGATGCGTAATTAATATATCCCACATTAGTAAGAACAGATCACACTACTTCCGTCAAAGAAAAGAAAAACTTCTAAGAAGATCAGTCTCATAAGCACATAGGATGGCATGTCTTGGAGATGACATCTAAATCTCACACCGGAAGAAGAAAAACCGCCGGTTTATGTGCTTGTTCATGAAAACATGCATGCACAATGGAGGTAGGCAAGGAAAGAGGAGAAGGTTGAGGCAATAGTTCAACGACTGCATTCTAGACATAGCAATTATATTCGACAAATAACTGCAACATCAAGATAAACTTCACAGCAGAAAACAGTTTTTTAAGTAATAGGTGGGTTGCCAAAAGTTACTCCATATCAAGTGACAAGCTTCTATTTTTATCGTGATCCATTCCTAAGAAGAAAGAAACTGAGTATAGAGGACACTAAAATTTCCAGAAAAAGAAAACACTCCAGGAAAAATGCAAATTCACAGCCAAATAAGTTGTATCACATGAGCCAAGACCATAAGATTAGAAAGTAGACACTCACGTGAAATGCTCAGAAAAAGCTTCAACAGAGCGCTTATTAGCTGGGAAAAAGTCCAGCAGATTTTCTTCCACTTTCCCCCGCTTCAGTATTGCAATCAAATCATCAAGGCTATTATCAATCAGATATTCTTTGAAGAAATCTGTTATGAAGGAAAGCACTAGCCCTTTGGCAACGAGATTATCCTTAAGCATTGGCTGGAAGACAGTCTCAGGCGGCAGGCCTGATAACTTCTGGGAAAATGCCAGGGCTGTGAAAATTGCCAGCTTCTTCCTTTCATTTTCCTCAAACAGCTCCAAGGACTGCAGGAATCTTCGCATGACATTTTCAAGGTTCTTGATGAGAAATGGTCTCCGCCGCAAAATCTTCTGTAGGTAAATGACAGATGGGAGAATCAATTCTCGTTTAGGCTCACACTCTATGATAGAGTAAGGGTGGCGTTCACCCTCATCGGGCTTAGTAGTTCCAGGTTGTGTACGCCCTCCTGTGAAAGCAACCTGTAGTAACAAAACAGTCAAAATCTAGTAAAGTCCTAAACGGTCTGCCAAGAATAAGAAAGCCATATGAATTGATATGGTTTCTTTTAGGACAACCGCAGGAGTTAGTTCACCACAAATTTAATTATCTAATTTTCCATTGAAATGGAGAATCTACCAAGCTTATATCCCAAAAAAAATAAAAATAGAGTCTAAATAACCACAAATATATAATGAAAAATTTCATGCCAAAAACCTAGCCAGCAAAGTGCGAAATGAGAAAATCCAATAGTTACACTTCATTCTCATCTTCATAAAGCACATATATCAGTAACCACCAAAAAATTAAAAAAAAAAATTATGTTGAGATCATGACAACCCAACTTTGGAAGAAGGCATGGCAATTATCTCTTTGCAACCTCCTAGGGATTTACCTGTACATAGTGCAATATCATATAATGGTCCCATTAACATTCTCTCTCCATATTTTATTCGTTTATTTTCCCTGTTCCTAATATACGATTTTTTTGGCCTATTCTTCCTGTTACTCTACATCCACATAAAGCTTCATACGAGCTGCAAACTGATATAAGAAGACTCTACATATGTAGCCAGAAGGAAAAAATATTCAGGAGGCTAATTTATCCTTCATATGCTTATTAATGCCTGACTACTAGTTAAAAAAATCATATTATATCCCCTCAAGATGTTAAAAGAGGCTGAAACACCTTTAATAGATCAACTGCACCCTAGAGCGCGTATTAATTCATAGAGAGTTCCAATCCCTACAAGTAAAGCCTGAGTTTTAACATAAATAGGTCGTTCTTAACGCGCAGGAAAAAAAGGAAGCTCACAATCACTCAAAGGTGAAATTTATTAGTGGATGAACTGCATCATCAAAGAAGGCTTAATTGTGACAAAGAACATGCCTGAACTATGTAAGAATACAATTAAGATCGCTACATTATCACTTGTCTTCTAAAAATAAATGCAAAATACAAACAAAAGCTAAGAAATAGACTTAGAAAGAAGCTTGCCTCAAAGAAGGTGTCACCGTATCTTTGAAAGTCGAGATCTGAAGCTTCAATACTCTTTGCAATAAGTTCCTGAGACAGGAAATACTAGGTCAGTTTAAATTGCAACATGCAACCTTAATAGGATTGTCTAGCACGTTAGTGTGGAAATTACCAGATTGCCAGCATTATCCAGATAAATCTGGACCACTGCATCCGCAAATGCTGCAGGGTCCAGAGGAGCTGCAATATTCCGTTTGCGGGTCTTAATCCGCGTGCCACTGTTAAAGAAGATAACCGGAAGTACATAAGTAAGTGACTAGACACATCCCGAGAATATAAAAGCTACAAAGGTATTCATATGCTAAAGAAAGAAAATCGATGACTATGGCTCCGCGTAGATATCTGAACACAAGTCGCATGCAGGATTGCCCGAACAAGAGAGAGGAGATACAGTTAAGTCGACGAACAAAACATGTAATGATTTGTCAGAAGAAACCCATTTCAGAGATTATAGCAGATCCCCAAGAGAGATATCCCAAGATCATATGTTAATGAATTCCCGGTAAAAAAGGGTCAATTCGTGTGAATAGCTAATTCTATAGCTAAAAACAGGATAAAAGTATGACGATTTGTAGGACCTTTGGTGATTCTTCCCACACCAATTTCGTGATGCGGGTAAAGAAATTGCAATTACAACGCAGAGAAAAGGAATTGGGCTAGAAACGAGTAAAAGATTACAGAAGAAAACATACCCGAGAGTGGGTCTCTCCTTCGAGCTGCGCAAGAAAAAGCAATTATCTACCGTCAGCACAGCAGTCGTGTATACAAAAAAGTTCATGATCTCGAAAGAGAAACACGAAACGAAACGAAACGAAACGAAACGAAACGGTTGAAACAATCCACAGAAAATAACGATGAACCGAATCGAACCGAACCGAACCAGATGCAAGGCGGGCATGGGGTTAAAGGCGACAAAGTACCTAAAAGATCGAGACTTCCACACAAATCCGACGGACCCAGAAACAAAAAGAAGAAGAAAAAGGACAAATCGAACCATATCAAACACCATCATCATCATCCCGGGTAATCATAAAAGTTCTCAAGATCCGACGATCGAATCGAACATCCGACCGAACCCAAACGCCGACGACCCCAACATCACCGCAACAGAGACGCCACCAACGGGGACGACGCGGGTAAGAAAACAGCAGATCCGCCGCTACAGCGCGGAGGGAGGGGGGGGAATCGAGAGGCGAAATCAGAGCGAACAAAGCGGGGGGTGGGTGAATCGATGGTACCTCATAAACCAAGATAAGTGGACAACGGAAGGAGGCGGGAGCGCTTGGGGTGCTTCGGTGCCCTCTTTGGCGTCTGCGCTTCAAGGGTCTCCGATAGAGAGAGAGTAGAGAGAGAGAGGATGGGCAGTGGGTTGGCTCTGGACACGGATATATGCGCGCAGGAGAGACAGAGAGAGAGAAGAGAGAGAGAGAGAGGAGGCTGGAAGTGGAAGGAGATGAGAAAGCCCAAAAAGGAGATATTTTTAGGTTTTAGGTCCAAGTCCTTTTCTCTTGCTCTTTCCCTTTACTTATGCAACACTGGTGATGGAAGTTTTCACTTTTTTTTTTTTTTTTTTTAGTAACCGAGATGTCCCGTCGGCCATACGCACCTCGACTATTCCTCTGGAGAAAGACAAAGAACCCACCGCCACGCCCTCACTTAAATCACAAGTGCTTAGCTGGAGAATCGAACCTAGGACCAGTACGCCTAACTACACAATCCCAAGTACGCCCTAACCAACTGAGCTACCCATGGGTAGGTGGAAGTTTCCACTTTGATATGCAAGAGAAGGGAAACAAGAATAAAATATAAAAGAGAATTTATTATCATGTATGACCTCTGCAGCAGCATTTACCAGGTTCCATAAATTTAATAATATATTTAGATGGGTAGGTTTCAGGTTCTAAAGTAGGTAGAACATAGAATCTAGAACATGTAACGGGTTTTTTGTGTTTCTCTTTGTCTATGTCTTCGCGTGATCCTACGATATTTCATGGCGTCCGATGACGAGTGTATAATCCGGAACCACTAGTCTGAGCTTATATTTTATGACCGAGACTTTTACTTCGTTAACTTTTTATATTCTTCATGTGTCTAAATATAAATTGTGGTTAGTGGATTGGAGTAGCAAGTGGTGATCGTTAAAAGTGATGATTTACTTCAATCGTTCAATTAATGATACATATGAAATTTGAATAGACCCATGAACTTGTGACGTGGTAAATTCTAGATTTTAGGTGAAACCTGTACGGAATCTGGAATTGCTTACCCCTAAGCATAATTATATTTTCGAATTGAGCCAACGGGGTGTTTTGGGTGGTGGACGAAATTTAATTATGAATGTTTGATCTATTTACAAATATGGATGTTTGATATATTTCTTGCATAAACAAATCTTGAGACACCCATATTTCCGGCATGGCAATCGATGTATGAAGGTTTATATGCATCATAGGCAATTAAAAGAACTTGTTTATGAGTTAGCCCCAGTTGAAATATAATCTTAAGGAATAATCTCATAAAATATCATAAACTTTTCTCAATAAGATATTAGTACCCCAATCTTTTTTTCTATCTCATCGATACCTTCAAACTTATACCAATGTCCCGAAAGTATATACCTTTACGCTTTCGTCAATATTGGCCATTAAGAACTTGTTTAAAGCGGGACAACTAATTTCAATCTTCTCATATTTTCTTTTTTAAAATTTTGAATAAGTATTTGCAAATTGTTAATTCCGAATTTATATCTTTAACAAGTTAGAAAGGAAACTTGAGTAGCTAGCCCTAACGACCTTCTCTAAACATTATCATAAGAGTCTCACACACGTTGCTTATTATGGAATTTTCGGATTGAGCCATGACTACTCCGTAACATCTCTCTTGGCGCTACTATAAGGGTTTTCCCATCTACGGCGAAATGTTTAAATTGAGTCGTAACCTACTCTACGTCACCATGATCGAAGGTCCGAGATTGGCGAGCTCGTCACTATTGCCTCACCAAATACTAACAGTTAAGAAATCTCTTTACACGAGGTATGCCGCAGTTAGGCAACGTAATACGAGCTATTCAAAGTTTGTTTTTTTAGCTATGAAAAACACTTGTATTAGAATTTTTATTGTTCATCCAAATAAAGTTGTTAATTCATCACAAGGTTGCACGAGAAACAAAATATAATCACGCGCGCACATGGCCAATAATAATCCGTATATCATCAAGCCAAGAAATTCTTCTGGCTTAATATTGTCCCTAACACTTTCTCAATAACAACGAGAAATTAGAGACTGCAATTACCAAAGCCTTTAATCTATACCTTCGACAATTACCTATTCTTTTGTTAGCCCATGTTGAGACTACAGAAAAGAAAGAAGAAGTGGAAAGCTGAAGCTCAAGTAAGAAGTGGAAAGCTGAAACTCAAGTCTTCTATACACATCAACAATGTTCTGCGTAACTGTTTTCTATTTCTTAGAACTAAGGAAAAACAGAGTAGTTGACATTCTGTTAGTTCAGTTGTACAGATTTATTTCTTCTGTTAGTTTAGTTGTTCAGTTGTATTTTCTGGTATATGAGCTGTAAACTCAAGCGTTAGTTTTTAGCTGTATGAACTATATATACAGTGAGATACACAAGAGAGAGCTAATGCTCTTAGATGAAGTTTTGTATGGAGTTTCTCTGCATAATCTGATGAATAGAAGTTCACGTATCTTCAACTATAGATTTCCTTCTCCTTTCTTCCATTTCTCAAGTTCTTCACATGGTATCAGAGCCTTCTCTGAGAGCGAAGCTGTGAATTCTGATCTCATTCTCTGAAAACACAACAATGGCGGCAAGAACACCGAGATATCCTTTTCCTATTCATGTCAACATTGCTAACTTCGTTACAATCAAGCTTGCTGAAGACAACTTTCTTCTCTGACAAGCTCAGTTTTATAGATTCCTTCGCAGTCAAGAGCTATTTAGCTTCGTCAATGGAGAAATTCCATCACCTCCTCAGACAATACAAGATGAAGTTGACGGGAGAGAGACTGAAGTAGTCAATCTTGATTACACTGATTGGGTGAAAACCGATCAACTGGTGTCTTCATGGATTAGTGGTGCTGTTTCTGAGAATATCCTGGGGCTAATCATCAGCCTGGAAACATCCTATGAGGTATGGCAGACCTTGCTGAATCGATTCACACAGAAATCAGTAGCTAGGGAGTTTGAATTGAGGGGGAAACTGCAGGCATGTCAGAAACGAAATAGACAACTATCTGATTATCTTAGAGAGTACAAACTGATTTGTGATCAGTTAAATGCAATAGGAAAACGTGTGGATGAAATAACTAAGGTTTTTGGCATCCTGGAAGGACTAGGATCTGAGTATGAAAACTTCAAAACAACCATGTATTGTTTGAAACCTCAACCTGATTATGATGAGGTGATATCACAGCTAGAAAGATTTGAAACAAGACTGCAGAACTATTCCTCCAATCAGTTTAATCCTAACTTGGCATATTACGGAGAAAGAAATGTAGAGATGGAACCGAAGGTAGTAACTAGCAAAGAACTTAATCAGCCTAATCTGGCTTTCATGGGACAGAGAGGTGGTTTCAAGGGAGGACGTATCTATGGCAGAGGTCGTTCCTTCGACAATCGAGGTCGTGGTTATGGTTATCAAGGAAGAGGTTAGAATTATAGACCATTTAGTCTGAACCAGGATCAGGAGGTTCAGCGTTTTAAACCACAGACTAACACCTATAGTGCAGGCTCTGGTTTTCAACCACATACTGATTCATCACAGAGGTATCAAGAGAATAAGTCTTATCCCACTCAAAACTCAGCAACTTATAAGGATTTGCAGGTTGTGAAAGCAACAGATGGAGTTCGCGTAGCATGTCAAATCTGCAAACGACCAGGGCATGATGCACTTCAATGCTGGTATCGGTTCGACAACTCTTATCAAGATGAAACTATTCCTCAAGCTCTAGCAGCAATGCATCTTGAGGATCCTACAGGCAGTGAATGGTATCCTAACACAGGAGCCACAGCCCAGATCACTGCCAATCCTAGTATAATTCATAACCCCTCAAAGTATACTGGAAATGATACTGTCATGATAGGAAATGGATCATGTATTCCTATTACTTACACTGGTAATGCATTCTTACATTCTGAGCTTGATGTGTTACCATTAAATGATGTACTGGTGGTTCCTGAAATCAAGAAGAACCTTCTTTCATTTTCAAAACTGACTGATGATTTTCCCTGCTCTTTTGTGTTTGACAAAAATGGTGTCTATGTAAAGGACAATCGCACCAACACCACAGTGATGCTCAGGAGAAAAGTTGGGGGGCTCTACCGAGTGGTTCAGCAGGTAACTAAGGCTCTACTTACACAGAGGCATAAGGCAGTCGAAGAAGAAATATGGCATCAGCGACTTGCTCATAGCAACTCACAGATCTTGAAGCATCTTCAACGACAGCAGAGGATCTGCTGCAATAAGAAAGCACCACCTGTGTGTGGTAGTTGTCAACTTGTCAAAAGTACTTCACTACCTTTTCCTTTCTCTGATTCTGCAACTGAAGTTCCTCTAGAAAGGATACATTGTGATATTTGGGGTCCATCACCAGTAACTTCACTTCAGGGATTCAGATTGTATGTCATCTTTGTTGACAATTTTTCTCACTATAGTTGGCTTTATCCCATGAAGCTGAAGTCAGACTTCTATGATATTTTTCTTATATTTCAGAAGTACGTGGAAAACCAACTTAATCATAAAATCAAAGTTTTTCAATGTGATGGGGGAGGTGAATTCACTAGCACCAGATTTCAGAATCACTTGGCAACTTGTGGTATTAAACAGTACTTATCTTGCCCCTACACCCCTGAACAGAATGGGATTTCCGAGAGGAAACACTGTCATGTGGTCGAACTGGGTCTGACTATGCTCTATCATGCTAGAACTCCACTACAATATTGGGTTGATTCCTTTTTGACTGCCAATTATATCATTAACTTACTTCCAACTCCCAAGTTGCATATGGACTCACCTCATAGTAGGTTGTTTAAACAAGTACCGAGATATGATCATCTTAGAGTCTTTGGCTGCGCTTGTTATCCCTGCCTCAGACCCTATACACAACACAAGTTTGATCCTCGATCTCTTACATGTGTTTTCCTGGGATATAGTGAGCGTCATAAAGGGTATCACTGTCTGGTCCCTACTGATGGTAGAATATATGTCAGTCGACATGTGAAGTTTGATGAATGTTTCTTTCCTTTTACCAAGAAATTAAATAGTAACTATCCTCACTATACCTCTCTGTATTGAAAATGGGTTGATGAGGTAGACTTTATGGATTCTAACAAGCTGAGTCCCATGCGACACCCTCCTATCTGTACCACTGGTCATTTACAGGAAACTGGAGTTCTGGAGGTTGGCCAAATTCGTGTCCCATACATCACAGAGCAGTGCAAACATATGTCTTTGTCATCCTCACAGCCTTCTACTGATCTTGAGGTCTCAGGATGTTCTGCTCCAGATAATACAGCACCAATCATTCCTGTTGATGACCAAGACCATCCAAGTTCTTTTCCTCATCATTCCCGTGATACCTCTATTCATCCTATGCAAACTCGACTCCGGTCTGGCATAGCTAAACCAAATCCCAGATATGCTTGTTTAGCTGAATATAATGTTCCAGCTGAGCTGAAATCACTTAAATCAGCTCTAGCTCATAAGGGCTGGACTCAAGCCATGCATGAGGAAATGGATGCCCTGCATATGAATCAAACTTGGATATTAGTTCCAAGAACAGCTCAGATGAATATCGTAGGATGTAAGTGGGTGTTTAAAACAAAGTTAGCACCGGATGGCAGTCTTGACAGGTTGAAGGCTCGTCTGGTTGCTAAAGGGTTTCACCAAGAAGAAGGAGTAGACATTTTTTAAACCTTCAGCCCCGTAGTGAAACAAGCCACACTCCGTATTGTCTTATCAGTGGCTATGGTAAAGCACTGGCCTATTCGTCAGCTAGATGTCAAAAATTCCTTTTTACATGGCACACTCACTGAATCTGTTTATATGGAGCAACCCCCTGGTTTTATCCATCCTACTTTGCCTCATCATTTATGTTTACTCAAGAAGTCTTTATATGGTCTTCGACAGGCTCCACGTGCATGGTCTGAGAAGTTCAGCAACTTTCTTCTTGAATTCGGTTTTTTCTGCAGCACTACAGACCCTTCTCTCTTTGTGTTTCATCGTGGCACTGACACAATCTTGTTGCTTCTGTATGTTGATGATATTGTGTTAACTGGTAACTCACATCAGTTGCTTGATGATTTCATCAAATCTCTGAGTATCTCTTTTCACATGAAAGATCTGGGCTCACTTCATTATTTTCTGGGGATAGAAGTCCAACGCACTTCGGTTGATCTTTTTCTCTGCCAAACCAAGTATGCTCTTGATCTTCTTACAAGAGCACACATGCAAGATTGCAAACCCATAGCAACTCCACTACCTGTAAGGCCTCTTCACACAACGGATGATGACATCTATCTTGTTAACCCACTTGAATACAGAAGTTTAGTTGGAGGGCTTTAGTATCTCACCATAACTTGCCCAGACCTTACTTACGCCACTAATCTTCTATGTCAGAAAATGCAGCGACCAACCATTGCTGATTTTCATAAACTAAAGCGAGTCCTTCGATATGTTAAGGGCACTGTGAATCTGGGAATCTTCCTACACTCTCAAAGTTCTATGGCCTTATACGGCTTCTCCGATGCTGATTGGGCTGGCTGTCTTGATACCCAACATTCCACCACTGGTTTTTGCACATATCTTGGTTCCAATCTCATCTCCTGGTCCGCTAAGAAACAACCGACTGTCTCTGGTTCATCTACTGAAGCAGAGTATCGAGCTCTTGCATCTGCTACTGCTGATCTTACATGGATTAGTTTTGTCCTACGTGATATTGGCATCTCTCTTCACTCTCCTACAACTCTGTTTTGTGATAACCAATCTACCATCTCCCTTACTACCAATCTTGTCTTACATGCTCGAACTAAACATATTGAAATTGACTTTCATTTCGTCAGAGAAAATGTCTCCTTGGGATCCTTACAAGTTCAGTATGTTCCTAGTCATCGCCAACTTGCTGACATTTTCACCAAGGCATTGTCACGACTTGATCATTCCACTCTCAGAACCAAATTGGGCTTGGGTTTCAAACCTGCACCCAGTTTGCGAGGGGATGTTGAGACTACAAAAAAGAAAGAAGAAGTGGAAAGCTGAAGCTCAAGTAAGAAGTGGAAAGCTGAAGCGTAAGAAGTGGAAAGCTGAAGCTCAAGTCTTCTATACACATCAACAATGTTCTGCGTAACTGTTTTCTATTTCTTAGAACTAAGGAAAAACAGAGTAGTTGACATTCTATTAGTTCAGTTGTACAGATTTGTTTCTTCTGTTAGTTTAGTTGTTCAGTTGTATTTTCTGGTATATGAGCTATAAACTCAAGCATTAGTTTTTAGCTGTATGAACTATATATATAGTGAGATACACAAGAGAGAGCTAATGCTCTCAGATGAAGTTCTGTATGGAGTTTCTCTGCATAATCTGATGAATAGAAGTTCACGTATCTTCAACTATAGATTTCCTTCTCCTTTCTTCCATTTCTCAAGTTCTTCACAGCCCGTTTCTACACTTCTCATCATATCTCTACAATGATTATACTAAATAAATTTAGCGAAAGTAATCGGATTATCTCGAAAGTAATGGCGCGGGCGCGTGACGCATTTGCGAGAATTAATTGAAGATTAAAAAATGGTGGACACATTTATACTATGTTTGAAACCCAACGTGGATGAAAAACTTTATCAAGAATGCATATAAGAGCTAAAACTCCACTGATCAAGTAGGTTTATGAATCAGTGCATCACAGTCAACATCAAGCGATGCAGAGAAAGCAGTTCATAAGACGCGTCTTTCCATCATTTTTTTCTTTTTTGGGGTTGAAAGCTCGCTGAGGACATTCAACAAACACATGGCGTGCGTGTCCAGAACGAGAGCAACCGCTAAACCTCGCCGTCGTCGCGAAGGGCTTGGTCCGGTTGCTCCGAAGACGGGTCGAGCAGGACGGCGGCGTCGGAACGATGCTGGGGTGGATGATGATGATCCGGGTCGGCGTTCATGAGCTTCTCCATGTCTTGCATCCTCGTCCTCACCACGCTCGTCACCAGCACTGCAAAATTGCGGATCCACAAAGAGGGGTGAATCCTCTAGACAGACGGACACACACACACACACAAACCCACGCACGCAAACGGAGAGAGGCGCGACCAACCAGCGGCAGTTCCAAAGGTCCAGAGCCAGAGGATCTTCAAGCCAGGGCTCGTCTCTCTCGCCATGGATGCGGTGATCGCCTCCAGATGTTGCTCTAGCACTTAGCCGCGAAAGCGCAAAATTGTATCAACCCGTTCATGACGGGACGGTTCATGGGTCGATCCCTAACCCGTTCGGCCCGCACGAGTGTGCCCCCCTGACCAAAATGCAAATTGTGTTCGGTGAAGCAAAATTTGAAAGCCCATTTTAGCAAATGTAATGCATTTCCAAATGCAATTTTTATCTCGAGGTAAAGGGGGGCGGAGTGGCTTTTGGCATTTTCAGTATTCCAAATTGGTCGCCGAGGTCGAGGCTCGCGCAAGTGTCGTCGTGTCGACGCTCTCGCCCGGTCAAATCAACCGCCTCGAGGGACCACTGCCTGAGCTCGCCTCTGTTCCGGATTTTGCCTCACCGTTGTTCCTAGATGCGGCTTGCCTGGTTGGCGACGAGGGTCGTGCGTCGACACTGGCCGAGGTCGAGGCTCTCACCTGGCCGTATGACGAGGGTTGCGCGAGTTGGTCCATTGCCTGAGCTCGCCTCTATTCCAAATTTGCTTGAGCTACCGTTCCCCGATGTTGCTTGCCTGGGGTCACACGACCATGACGACCCGTTGCTTGGGGTTGCGGCGACTTCGGTGGGCCTCACTTGGGTTCGTGCGACCACGGCAACGGGCCGTCGCCTAAGACATCCTTTGTTTTTTTTTATAATTAATGTCCTTTACAATTGCAATTTCATTCTACTCGACATTTAGATGAAAGTTGATTTCCAATGCAGTTCTCAATTAAAGTTTACCAAACATTATTTGTAGTGGAAGGAATGTTCACTATCAAATTGAATTTCTAGTTGGATTATATAGCATAAGATTTCATCGATCTTGAAATTGTAGTGGTGAAAAGTTTTTTTTTTTTTTTTGGATCGTGCTACTATAGAATAGTGATAAAGAGAGAGATATAAAAAAAAAGACAAAATAAAAATAAAAGAGAATGCCATTTTATGCTAGAGTGGCACAGATTCATGGAAGTGGTCTCGCCACTAGAATATGTTCAGATTTGTGCTTGTCGATATTCCTTTATTTTTTTTTTTTCATGTCGTCCGTATAATGTGTAATTAAAGACACGAGAAATTCATAAATTATTGAAAAATGTTTGATCATATCTCTCAACTTTTCTTTTGTGCTCGATCGAGTCTCTAAATTACACTTTTTGGGTTCGAGTTGGTCTTCCGTTAAAAATATGCTGGAATTTAATCGATGACAAAATTTGAGAACGTGCAAAGATGTAACGCCGGAATTTGATCGACGACGCGAATCGGAAAGCTACAGTTAAGGAAATATAAAGTACTGTATAGGAAAGTAAAAATAATTGAAAGATAACATTTTTGATTGATTTATCGGGGGCTCGGATGGCTAATCGAATTTATAAAAATCGCGGAATAGCTACTCTTTGATGGTTCCTAGCAGTTCCTGGCAATTTCCAATGGTTCTCGACGATTTTCGGCGGTTCTTGGACGGTTTCCGGTGGTCGTGCTTCTGCGAACGATTTCTTTCGGTTATCCATATGATCCTTTATTCCCGGCATTCTTGTGACCATGATCTTTTGGCTCTTTTTGGCTGAGTAGCCACTTCTCTAGATGAGTATCAACCGACTCATGACCTTGTTCTGGTGGTTGCATCCATCTAAACACGCGTGGTCAACTATCCCACGAGCTAATGGTGTCAAGATCGTATTCTCTCCACGTGAAGATAGTAGCTGTGCAGACCGGACCGCGAAGGCCCGTAAATTAGGCTACCTCCATCCTAATTGGCTGTCTAAGCTCCCAATCCTTTCGGGATTTGTTATGTTTTGACGCTAATTGTGAATGTTTTTCTATTAGTCAAATGAAAGTGGCCCGTTTTCGGCCGAAAAAAAAAAAAAAAAACTAGCCCACAAGCTTACCGATTGATTGCTTCTTGCCCACACCGATGCCCATGTTAGCAACAATTTGTCGTTATCCGTCGTCGGCAGCTGATCGATGATTTCTGGAATCGCGATAGGATAAAACCATGTCGAGACTGGACAGCGTTGGTTGAAATAGAGCACGAGTTCAATCATGTACATCTGTTTTCTTGAATTTTAGATTTTAAGTTGCTGGTTCGGTTTAAAGAATTGATTTTGTGAGATTTTGTTAGGACTATTGCCAACTATTAAAAAAATCTTAAGTTATTAAATGAATGCATCAAGTCCGTTTTGTGGTCTTTTCTTTAATTTTACATTTTCAAGATAAATATTGAAAGTCATAAAATTTAGCACTTAAAAATTATTTGAGTCCTAAAACTTCAAAGTCAATTAAAAAATTCAAAACAATTGTCAACTATAATTGAGATTTGATGGGCACGAGATAATCAGTTATCAATTATTTTAAAAGTTTACGCTGTTAGATGAAGGCGTGATTTATAATTTAAATATTCTAACACGCTTAGTTACTGTATTTGTACATAAACACCAGTTTTTTTATATCCAATATCGAGTGGCAACAGCTGTTAATAATGATTGATTTACCAATAGCGAAAGTGCCTTTTCAGTTCAACTCGTCCACCGACCGAAAAAAAAAAAACATGTAGTTCAAGTCGACCGGTTGACTTGCACATCTTCCTCCTCCTCTCCTTCACTCATGCCTCCGGTCTCACGTCCGCCGCCAACACGGCGGAGGTCCGCCGCCGCCGCTACCGCCTCCGCCCTCTTCCTTTTTCCTCCTCCTCCTCCCGACCCCTCTTCCGCATGCCGCTGCCCAACCGGCATCCGCTCCGCCGAGCGACGAATCCTCCTCTTCCACCCCGGCCTTCGACGACACCTTCAACCCGATCTCCCTCATGTTCATCATCGTCGTCTTCCTCTTCTTCCTCTCTGCCTACTCCGCCTTCATCCGCCGCTGCTCCCCCGCCCCCGAGGGCTCCATCTCCGTTCCCTTGGTCCGCCGCCTAGCTGCCCCTCGCGGCCTCGACCCCGCCATCGTCGAGAGCTTCCCGACCGTCGTCTACTCCGCCGTGAAGGGGCACAAGACCGGCGAGGCGTCGCTGGAGTGTGCGGTGTGCCTGAACGACTTCGAGGACGAGGACGTGCTCCGCCTGATCCCCAAGTGCGACCATGCCTTCCACCCCGACTGCATCGGCGCGTGGCTCGACTCCCACACCACCTGCCCCGTCTGCCGCGCTGAGCTCGCATCGCAGCCGGCCGGCAACTCTGAAAGTCAACAAGCTGAGTCGGGCACCGAGCCGCCGCGGGTTGAGGTGATGGTCGAGGTGGCTCCGCCGGATGCCGGCGCACCTGAGAGGAGTCAGCGAGGAGGAGAACGAGAGGGAATCCAGCCGCCCTATCTATGGGACAAGAACGAGTGCGGCAGCTTCAATAATCGCAATCGTGCACTTGGCTCGAGCCGGATGCAAAGATTTTCCCGCTCGCACTCGACCGGGCACTCGCTGATCCGACCAGGTGAGGACAATGACCGTTTCATGCTGAGGCTGCCGGCCGAGGTGAGGAAGCAACTGATGGACCGGGCCAGGCCGGACCGGCCCCAGGAAGGTAGCTCGAGGCGAGGGTACTGGCGTGGAGGCGAAGGGAGCAGCCGAGGGAGGTACTTCGGGAGGCCAGACCGGCTGGACCGGGCGGCTAAGCCGGAGAGGCGGGCTTTCTTTGTGCGCGTGCCGTCGGCCCTCTCGCCTAGAGTGGCTGCCGACGGCAATGGAGGTTCAGCGCAACAGGCTCGACCGGCCATTTAGTGCGTAAATTAGTGAGCAATTTCTGAAATGGAAGTTGACTAAATAGATTATGGAAACCAAAGACAATTGATTGAAAAATCAATGAAAATGTTAATTTTTTAATTTAAAAATGATTTGATCCGAATATTTTATTTCTTATTAGTAAGATGGAAATGTAGATTCCCTACCGTATAGTGATCGAAATTTACTTGTGTAAGGTTGTACAAAGCAGGAAGTTATACCAATATCCGCGCGCCATTTGCTTGTTCGAGTTTTGCCTATCCGTATTAGTTAAGCATTTCAAAGCAGATATGATCATATCTCCTCAATATCTGTTGCAAATTTCAATGTACCAAATATCCCATCCCCCAAAATTATTAGATATCTAATCTTTTTTCACAGGATAATTGCCCAAAAAGTTCTAAACCTATTGTACGGAGGCCAATTCGATCCTAAACCGTTCGATTATATCAATTCAGTCTTAAACCTTTAGATAATTTGCCAGTTCAGTCTTATACCTATTGTGATCCGGCCCCTAGCCGATTGTGAGTGGTGAACTTTGGGCGCTCCTACGGTCACCCTTAAGATCTTCGAGGACAAAATTTTCGATTTGTGAGTTTCTCAAAGAGAAGGGAGAGCTTGCGCGCCCTGCTATTTATTTGGCTGGAGTATAGTCTCGAAATAATTGTTGTGAATGGCTGCATCATCAGATATTCAGAAATGTTGATGAGATCAACTGCCGTGACATTTCCCGACCGATGAAAGCCGATGACGATTAGACGAAAAGCGTTCCCATAACTATCGCCGGAGACATGGATCTCCGATGGCGAACGGCTTCAACTGGACACGGATGAAATCCCGATTCCGACGATAGATGATTCTGTTTAGCCTAAGCATGAAACCGAATCGCGCGAAAGTACTCCGGTACAAATTTCTCCGTCTTAGGTTCGTGACCTTAGTCGAAGCATATACATGAAAACTTTGTTACGTTCATTACCTACGGACGTCGAGTCATCCTCTTCTGTCTCCCCGTTGTTTCTATATGATTGCCGAAACAAACAAGAACGTGAACTCAACCTTTTCAATACGGGCGATGCGTTTTCGTTTCTAAGATCTATCCATCCTAATGCATTGCTTGACGGATACATCAATAACATGCCATGTTGAAATGTTACTTGATTTTGGAAATGACACTAAATTGGTAGACACTTATCGTCGTGTTAACAATTGTCTTGCCAACATTTCTTGATCTCATTATTACGCATGTGCAAAATGGACCGCCCAAACCAAAAATCACCCAGACTGGACCGAACCGGCCAGTTGGGTCCGGTTCCCGAGAGTGTCGATCTAGTTCCTAAGAGTGGAATCGGTGTCCGGGCAATCCGATTCCCGGTTCCAAAGAGGAATCGGACCAGACTGATTTCATATACTTTTTTTTTTATTTCTTCAAAAAAATTAGTAAAATGTGAACTAAACCCTAAGTAAGCTTCATTGATATAAATTTCCTGACAAATATTAATAAAATGTGAACTAAATTTTAAGTGAATGGTTTCATTGAACCGAAACTGGAACCGGACCGGACTAGTGGTCCGGTCCGATTCCCGGTCCTAGGACCAGCCGGTCTAGTCCACGGTTCCCAATTTTGGGAACCAGTCCGGACCGGGAACTGATCACCCGTACCTATTATACAAAACTATAAATAAATAATTAACTTGCTTTCCTAATATTTTTGTATTCGTGAATTTGTATATAAACACCCGTTTTTATCAACAGCTGTAAATTATGATTCATTTACTAAAAAAGGGAATAATTGCCCGCTACTAGTTTCCCTTGATAGATATAATTACTTAATACAACGATATCCTCGTATTAAACTTTTGTGGGACCCACGTATTTTTGAAGCAGTACACGTAAGAAATACTTGTGCCTATTGGTTATACTAGAGTTCACGTATAAAAATCTGGCTTTTTAAAGTAGAATCTCGAAATTCGAAGTATCTCGTATGTCAAATAGGATACGCGTATGTGTTCAAGTTTTCAACAAAGGCCGTTTTTCATTTCGAGAATCATTCGGAGAATATGTTTTCACGTTACTTAGAAAAAAAAATCTAATTTTTATGGACAAAAGAGCCTACTTTAAATCAAGGGTTAATACCGCCAAAAACCCGAAATTGGTACATCCGTGAGAAATTTATCCAAAACTAATTTTTTGATCACAAAAAATCCAAAATCGGTATACCTATAACAAATTTATCCTCCGTTAAATTGGATTGATATCACGAAAAATCAGAAATTGGTAAACCTGTGACAAACAGAAGGGTAAAACCCCAAATCGGTACACCTGTCGACTGCCACGTGTTATCTAACTCAGAAAATTTGACGGTAAAATTTAATGGAAACTAACGAAGGGTAAATTTCATGTTGGGTTTTTTGTCACAAATTTCATGTTGGGTTTTTTGTCACAAGTGTATCGATTTGGAATTTTTTGCGGTATTAATCCTAAAAACAATGAATGACGTAAAGAAAAAATGTGCAGCGTACCGCTCTAGATATTTATCGATGAAACGACAAATAATGAGGAAGATTGATAGATTTTTTTTTTTTCATCTCGGTTTTAATTATTATATATAAAAGCAAGAAAAATCAAAATGGCATTAGCGAAAATGCCTTTTCAGTTCAAGTCGTCCACCGACCCAAAAAATAAAAATAAAAAATTATAGTTCAAGTCGACCCGGTTGACTTGCACATCTTCCTCCTCTCCTCCACTCATGCCTCCGATCTCGCGTCCGCCGCCAACACGGCGGAGGTTCGCCGCCGCCGCCTCCGCTCTCTTCCTCTTCCTCCTCCTCCTCCCGACCTGTCTTCCTCGCGCCGCGGCCCAGCCGGCGTCCGCTCCGCCGAGCGACGAATCCTCCTCTTCCACCCCAGCCTTCGACGACAACTTCAACCCCTACCTCAGGGTCGTCGTCGTCTTCCTCTTCCTCCTCTCTGCCTACTCCGTCTTCATCCTCCGCTGCTCCCTCGCCCCCGAGGGCTCCGTCTCCGTCCCCTCGCTCCGCCGCCTCGCCGCCCCTCGCGGCCTCGACCCCGCCGTCGTCGCCGTCGAGACCTTCCCGACCGTCGCCTACTCCGCCGTGAAGGGGCACAAGACCGGCGAGGCGTCGCTGGCGTGCGCGGTGTGCCTGAACGACTTCGAGGACGACGACATGCTCCGCCTGATCCCGAAGTGCGACCACGCCTTCCACCCGGACTGCATCGGCGCGTGGCTCGGCTCCCACACCACCTGCCCCGTCTGCCGCGCGGAGCTCGCGGAGCAGCCGGCCGGCGACTCGGAAAGTCAACAAGCCGAGTCGGGCACCGAGCCACCGCGGGTCGAGGTGGCGGTGGAGGCGGCGCCGCCGGATGCCGGCGCGGCAGAGAGGAGCCAGGGAGGAAGAGAACGAGAGGGAATCCAGCCGCCCGATCTATGGGACAAGAACGAGAGCAATAATCGCAACCGTACACGTGGCTCGAGCCAAATGCGAAGGTTTTCCCGCTCGCACTCGACCGGGCACTCGCTGATCCGACCGGGCGAGGACACCGAACGCTTCACGCTGAGGCTGCCGGCCGAGGTGAGGAGGCAACTGATGGACCGGCCCATGCCGGACCGGGCCCATGAAGGCAGCTCGAGGCGAGGGTACCGGTGCGGAGGCGAGGGGAGCAGCCGAGGGAGGCACTTCAGGAGGCCAGACCGGCTGGACCGGGCGGCCAAGTCGGAGAGGTGGGCTTTCAACAGGATGCCGTCGTTCTTTACGCGCGTGTCGTCGGCCCTCTCGCCTAGAGTGGCTGCCGACGGCAGCGGTGGAGGGTCCTCTCGTGGTTCGGCGCAACAGGCCCGACCGGCCATTTAGTGCGTAAATTAGTGAGCAATTTTTGAAATTGAAGTCGTTGATTAAAAAGATTGATTAGTCCTCGCGCGTTTAAGGGTGTCATGGAAATCGAAGGCAATTGATTGAAAAATCCGAGAAAATGTTAATTTTTTTCAGTTTTAAAATGTTTATTTGCTTGTTCGAGTTTTTGCCTACCTGTGTTAGTTAAGCATTTCAAAGCAGATATGATTAGATCTCTTCATATCTTTCGCAAATTTTGGACTCTAGATAAAAAAACGTGCCAAATATCCCAACCCCAAAATTATTTAATATCAAACCTTTTAGACGGAATAATTATCTAAAAAATCTTAAACTTATTATACAGAGACCAATTCAATCCTAAACTTTTCAATTATGCCAATTGGGGACTAACTTCTATCCTAAACCTTTCTTTGTGCCATTTTAGGGCCGCTGATTCAAAGTGGTGAACTTTGGGCGTGCTACTCCAACGATTACCCATAAGGTCTTTTGAGGATAACGATTCGATTCGCGAGTTTCTGGAAGAAAAGGGGGAGCTTGCGCATTGATATATTTGGAGGGAGTCCTGTTCCATGGTCTTGGAGTGACCGTTGTGAATGGCTGCATCGTCAGAGATGTTGATGAGATCGAACTACAGTGGAATTTCCCATATGATGAAAGCCAACGACGATTGGGCAAAAAGCATTCCCATAACTATCGCCGGAGACAAGGACCTCCGACGGAGAACGGCTCTATCCAGACACCGATGAAATCCCGATTTCCGGTGAAAGATGATTCTGTTTAGCCTAAGCACGAAACCAAATTGCGCAAAGATAACCCAATACAAAATTTCTCCATCTTATATTCGCGACCTTAGTCGAAGCACACATGAAGCTTTGTTACCTTAATCGAGTCGTCCTCTTCTGTCTCCCTGTCGTTGATTAAAAAGATTGATTAGTCCTTGCGCGTTTAAGGGTGTCATGGAAATCGAAGACAATTGATTGAAAAATCTGAGAAAATGTTAATTCTTTCAGTTTTAAAATGTTTATTTGCTCGTTCGAGTTTTTGCCTACCTGTGTTAGTTAAACATTTCAAAGGAGATATGATTAGATCTCTTCATATCTTTCGCAAATTTTGGACTCTAGATAAAAAAACGTGCCAAATATCCCAACCCCAAAATTATTTAATATCAAACTTTTTAGACGGGATAATTATCCGAGAAGTCTTAAACTTATTGTACGGAGACCAATTCAATCATAAACTTTTTAATTATGCCAATTTGGTACTAAATTTCTATCCTGAACCTTTCTTTGTGTCATTTTAGGACCGCTGATTGTGAGCGGTGAACTTTGGGCGTGGCACTCCAACGATTACCCATAAGGTCAAGAGCTGGCATCAAGTCCAATGGATAAGGACAATGGTCCATAGTCATAGGGGTCTTGAGAGAGTGGTCCATCCCATGGATCCTGAGATGACTGCATCGGATCTTGAGATGACTGTGCTGGATCTCCTATATCTGGATAGCTTTGCGGTGGTGGAAGAAAGTATCCGATTCTCGGAATAGAGAAAAAATCAGTAGGCTTAAATTTTCCTTCTTCAAGGAGACTGATTTGCCTTCTGAATTTCTCTATTTCATTCTTCGGACTTTCAAGATAATGGTAGCCAAGATTCGATTCGCGAGTTTGTCGAAGGAAAGGGGGAGCTTGCGCATTGTTATATTCGGAGGGAGTCTTGTTCTATGGTCTCGGAGTGACTGTTGTGAATGGCTGCATCGTCAGAGATGTTGATGAGATCGAACTGCTGTGTGAATTTCCCATCTGATGAGAGCCAAATATCGATTGGGCGAAAAGCGTTCCCATAACCATCGCCGGAAACGAGGAACTCTGATGGGGAACGGCTTTATCCGGACACGGATGAAATCCCGATTCCGACGGCGGATGATTTTGTTTAGCCTGAGCACGAAACCGAATCGCGCGAAGATAATCCGATACGAAATTTCTCCATCTTATGTTCGCGACCTTAGTCGAAGCGCACATGAAGCTTTGTCACCGTCTCCCTGTTGTTTCTATATGAATGCCAAAACAAATAAGAATGTGAACTCAACCTTTTCAATCCGGGCGATCCATTTTAAAAATGGCATATTGGCCCCGGCTTGTGTGTCGATAAAACCTCTCGGGGCGTCGTGCGGATCGCCCCATTGTCGCCGTGACCACAATGGGTGAGATTTCATAGGCAAAAGATGTGATGAGTTGATATGCGCCATTTAGATCGTCCATGCCAATCTTAGAGCTCGTAAGAGCCCAGCCACGAATATCTTATTGGGTACTCACGAATTCAACCCAATTCATTCATTACAAGAAAACTTGCTGATCATAATCCGTCGGGTCGCATTGCATGATTTCGCGGGGTTCTAAACAAACTCTGAAACTTGGTCTCGGAATTCGGTTCGGTTCGATTCGGCATTGCGCGACGACAACAGATCCGCCAAGATATAGGCACACGTTCCAACATGTGGATCGGTTTCAGGTTTCCATCGTTTCTCACGTGCGCGGGTCGCGCGAGTCGGGAACCGAAACCTCCCCGTCGAAAAAGGCTCCACGTGGCGACCGCCCCACGGGCGCCCGTTTCAGTTCAGATCGAGAAAAAAGATCCCCCAAACTTCTCCCCGCAGGATTTCGCGTCGGGCCATTCGCTCGCCAGATCCCCCCGCCTAACATTTCTCCCGCGCCACTGGTTCTCGTTTCGTCTCTCCCTTTCATTTTGGGCCCAGCATTCGCAAATCTCTTTTTTTTGAAATATTTAACTCGAATGGTCAATTACCAAAATGCCCTCCTCCCTCGTTTGACCCTCCAAAACTTTGACCCGCCAAATTATTGCGTCATAAAGAAAAAAAATTGGCAACGCGGCACGAACCACCTTCTCGAAATTACATACGAAGAACAAAGGAAGGGCATTTTCAGAAAAAAAAAAAGAAGATATGATTATATTAAATATATATCATGCGAAACATATCGAGGATACGGATCAGTCGGTCTATTTTAATTATTTCACGGACGACTCAAGTTTGGAAAGCTCGAGATACGATTTAATTTCTCGAACGGACGGAAATGAAATTTGAATTTCGAAATTTTTCGATTTCGGAATTTGATCGAACGCCAAATTGATGTTAAACACGCCTTTTGGAGTTGCGCGCCATGCAGATCCCCCCCCCCCCCCTCCTACGCAACGAGGAGCGAACACCACCACGCGCACGTCACGTGACGCGACGCCCCCTTCCCCCAACCCCCGATCGCCACGTGGGACTCCTCCCGCGGGGGGAAAAAAAGTCCGAGGAAAAAAGTCCGACACGACCGCCGCGCGCCACGTGGAGCTCCCGCGGCGGAGAAAGGAAATCCGACACGACCGCGGAGCGCCGCGTGGCGGCGTGGGGTGGGTCCGCCCCCGTGTTAAATTTGCGCCACCGCGCGCAAGCAAAGCGAGAGCTGGAGAGAGTGTCTCACGCCATAACCACCGCCCCGCCAACTCTCGCCACTCTCTCTCTCTCTCTCTCTCTCTCGTTCTTCTTCTTCTTCATCGTCTTCATCCTTCGTCGTCGTCGCCGCCGCCGTCTTCGTTCCTTCACTCACCGACGAGAGCGCCGCGCGATCGCGTTCCCATGCTCCCTCCGCCGCCGCTCCTTCCATGTAGCTCTCGGTCTTGATCAGCTCCGTCTCTCCCGGAGCTGAGAAACTCTCCGTCCGTTTCGTTTCCGGGATTCGATCGGGGGGAGGAAGGGACGAAGGTCGAGCGATGGAGGCGCACGAGCCCTCCTCCTCGTCGGCGGAGGAGCGGCGGCGGGGCGACGCGGCGGCGGAGGATTCGCCTGGCGAGGGCGAGAAGATGATCGGATGCGGCGGAGGAGGGGAGGTGGAGGGGGGAGTGGGAGTGGGGGTGGAGGGAGCATCGCGGAGAGGAGGGCCGCCAAGTGCGGGTTCAACGCGGCGGCCAGCGCGAGGATCGACACGGCGGCGGCGGGGGCTGGGGCGGCGGAGGGGGAGGGGGCGGCGAGTGGTCTGGCTTCGCCGCCGTGCCTCACGATACCTCCCGGGATCAGCCCCACCGCGCTGCTCGATTCGCCCGTCATGCTCCCTAATTCTCAGGTCCTTTGCTTCTCTCTCTCTCCCTGGCCTTTCCCGCTTTTTTTTTTTTTTTCTGTGATCTTTCTTCCTAATGGAATCGATGGATTGGATCGTTTGGTTTCGCGATCGGGATCTTCCTCTGGAATTCGATTGAGGGAATGCGATCGTCGTTTCGAATGTGAATCCGAGCGTAGTAGCTCGTGACATCCGATTCTTGCTGTCAAGATTTTCCCTGGAAACTCCATCCATGCCCATCTCTGCTGTCAAAAACGTAAAACGACAGTTCAAATTGTCATGTCACGGACATGACAGTAAATCCAAATCCGAAATCGCAAATACAATTACCATGCTTGAATTTGAACGTCCTAAAATCATTTGAATTCGTTCCTTGATTTACTCGAATCCATAAATGTTCTGTTTTTCCTTTAGCTTTGCTCTTTGCAAGTTTCTTATAAAACAAATTCAAAGCTGACTTTCAGTCTGAACACTTTACCTAAGAATTCCAGTAACGTTCATGTCTAGTATAAGATGAGTAGTGATCAGTGTACTGTATTATTTGAAACGGGCAACATAATAGTCATGATATTCTACAAATTTCTCATAGAATTCAAACTAAAACAAATCTTTACTGTTCATCAGTAGTAATAGAAGTTCTTATCCTAAAATAATCAAATTACTCCTTTTTTGCGTAAACTTATCGCTGTGCCCCTTTTTTGTTAGCTAGATTAGGAAACTGGCAATTTTACTGTTTTCCAATCTTTTAAAGTCTTTCTTGACGATAAGTAATTCAAAATGGGTGGGGACTACGCCCACGAACGAGCCCTCACAAGATGTTGACAAGACAACTACATTCAACCAAAGTAATGAATGCAACAATTTCACACTCTAATGTACCCGAATTACAGCATAATCGCTTATGTTCACTTGCGCAAGACAACCTTAGAGTCGCTCAACGTAAGGCGAACGCTGTATATAAGATGCCCAAAACAGATGTAAGGATGGGGCCATAGATAGTATGTGCATTCCTAGCAAGCTGGCTGGAATAAGCACATCTTTACGCTTACCTGAATCTTTGAAAGCTTCCCTTGTGAATATGTGTCCACTAAACGTAAGGAAGTTATCAGGAGGTATTTTCTTGAATGGTGTCTAATTTGTCATCACAGTTATTGGAAGCCTTCACGTGTCTCTGTTGCAGCTCTTGCTCGATACTATTTGTTTAATACTTTGTTCTTTTGGGCACAGTTGTCTCCCACCACAGGATCATTTTCATTGGCTACCTTTCCTGCTGATATTTCGATGGTGCACTCAGCAAGTACCACTGATGGCAATAAGGGAGGCTCCAGTGACCGGACTTTCAGCTTCAAGCCTGTTGGGTGTTCCTCCCCTCTGTCTGGTTTTTCTGCTTTAGAAGATCAGGTAATACTTGCTCATAGTGAAAGCAACGCCACTAACCTGTTTGAGCTCTGGCTTAGACATTTGCTTGCACAAGTATCCAGACAATTGTTCGATGACTGTGGGTCTCTCTCTCTCTCTCTCTCTCTGCTCGTCCGCGTGCTGACGTGTTACTGATGCTTTCGTGGCATCGGACTGAAGCATGTATTCCTCTTGTTACCTTTCAGCCGAGATCAAGCAATCACTGAGAAATCATGTGATGCACACAATAGGAGACAATTAGATGGAAACTTCCTCAAATATTCCTGTCAAGTGTAGAATGAGATTTTCTACTGTCTTGGTGGCTTCCTAATAACCATATAGATTTGGCAGATATCCAAGTTATGGGAATTCATACCTTTTTACAGTAAAATATGATGTCTTACTTTGTTGGGTTTGTTCTTGCAATCATTCGCAGGGGATCGGTATTAATAAACAAGGTTTCCTTCTAGAAGATCCTAAAATGGATTTTGAAATCCAAACAGAAATGTCTCAGGAAGCTGCTGAAAAGAACGGTGCCTTTAATCCATCTTCTGATGCAGAAGTATTGAGTGAAATGAACTTGAATGGAGGCTGCAGTGGCTTGCAAATCTGTAGCTCAAATGATGCCCGAGAGAAAGAATCTGTTCCTGAAGAGGATATGCAGGTCGAAAATGCTGAGGAAGGAGATCAAAAAGGGACATACCCCTCAGTTGGGACAGTTAGGACTTCGGAAGATGGATATAATTGGAGAAAGTATGGACAGAAGCAAGTAAAAGGTAGTGAATTTCCAAGAAGCTACTATAAGTGTACCCATCCAAATTGTCAGGTTAAAAAGAAGGTTGAGCGCTCTCTTGATGGTCAAATAACAGAAATTATCTATAAGGGTACTCATAATCATCCAAAACCTCAGCCTATTCAATGTGGACTGCTTAGATCAGCATTTTCACCGAATGAAATGTCAGAGATGGCTGATGGCGGTCAAGCTGCTATTAAAGTTGAAGGTGGATCAGTTTGGAGAAATAATCAGTTAGGGTCTAAGGATGTTAGACTCGGTCCGGATTGGAGACCCGATGGTCTGGAGCAAACATCCTCAACATCTGTCTTAACCGAGCTCTCTGGTCCTTTGCCAACCTCACAAGGAAAATGTGCAGTTGCTTTTGAATCAGCACAAACTCCAGAACTTTCTTCTACATTGGCTAGCACTGATGGTGAGGATGATGATGGGGCTACACAAGGAAGCATGTCACATGGAGAGGATGCTGACGATGAGGAACCCGAGTCAAAACGAAGGTAACATTTTTCTTTCTTGATGCTTCATCCTTCCATCTTGGAAATAGCAGACAGGGAAGCACCTTTTAACTTTTCTGACCACTTGATACAGGAAGTCAGAGAACTCTTTGAGTGAATCGAATTTGCCATCCAGAGCTGTCCGTGAACCAAGGGTTGTCATCCAGATAGAGAGCGACATAGACATACTTGATGACGGTTACAGGTGGAGGAAATATGGTCAAAAGGTGGTAAAAGGAAATCCCAACCCTAGGTATTATATGCCATATGCTCCTTTTCCCAGTTTTTATAATGCATCAGTTGTTTTCTCAGTGCTCTTTTTGTCCTGTGTGATCAAAATTCTGCCTGAGCAATTGAGGTCCCAGCTGAAACTTAGAGTGTCTTTGTGCTTTTGAGAAATCCGATGTCATATTCTGACTTGCTGAAGATTCTTATTCATGTATCTCATAGGAGCTACTACAAGTGCACTAGCGCTGGTTGCTCTGTGAGGAAGCATGTGGAAAGAGCCTCTGACAACCTTAAATACGTAATTACAACATATGAGGGAAAACACAACCATGAAGTTCCTGCAGCCAGGAATAGCAATTTACCCTCAGGTGGTGGAAATTTGTCTCCAGCTGCTGTTGGTGCTCAAGCAAACCTGGCAATACCTAGAAACTCTGGTACTAATAAGCCGGAGGCACAGGTTCAAGACCTTCCGATATTTGAGAGAAAGCCCGAGTTACATAATGAGTTCCTGAGATCGAGTTTACTCACCAATTTTGGCAACGACATGAAATTTGGCGCTTCCTCCTCCGTGTTCCCCTTCAAATTCCCTCCTCTGCAAAGCGCCATACCCTGCGGCTCATTTGGCCTGAATCCCACCCAGGGTGCAATGCATCAAGCCGGTTCTATAGCCTCTTTAGTTCCAGATCTTCCTATCTCTCTACCTTACAAGTTTCGCCCGTACCCAAAAGTTCCTGTGACCGATCTTTTCGATGGTAATCATATTGGAAAGCCTGCTGGTTCACTTCAGTCAGCCCTTTCAGGACAGCGGCTAAAACAGAACGATTTGAGATTCCTCACTCCAAAGCAGGAGCAAAGGGATGATCATCTGTATGATCCTTGCCTTCCAGTTGTTGGTCCTACAAATGCATCTTCAGCATCAATCTATCATCACATCCTGGGAGGTTATCCTTCCTGAGTTCGTTCATTTTTTCTTTTTTTCCGCTTTATCAGTATCTGCAGGAAAGGAGTATTCTGCTTGCCATTTCTGGTTAATTTCATTTGGTATTTCCAGAAAATCAATAGCATCATAATACAACAAGAAGCTAGTGAGCTATCTGCATCCAATAGTCTAAGTTTTGTTCTTAGGGTAATCATTCTCTTTATTTGAACAGTATCAACTCTCTCTCTCTCTCTCTCTCCTCTCTCTCTAGTTTTGTGGTGCATACCGCACAAGGTGGCTTGTTTCGACAGTTTTGGATGACTGAGCAACCTTCAGAGGCTTTGTCATCAAATGGAAGTCTAGTGATCGTAATCTTTCCAGTATATCACAAGACGAGCATTCTGTTCTGGAAGTCGGACAATGGATACCTGCCAATCATTTTATCATGCTAAATTGCCAACAGTACCATTGATTACTCGGTTATCGGCCCAAATGCCTGACGAAGAAGAATTTTCAAGGAAGTAATAAGCAAGCAGGAGGGAGTCAGGGACATCCAGATTAGCTCATGGCATGTCATCCAGCAGACACAGGAAAACAATGTTACTTTCGTCAATCCAATGGAATTCCCTTTAGATTCTAGGAAAGAACAAATCAATTCTCCCAAACAAGAAAGCAAAGGCCGTGAACCTCCAAAAGCGCCTGTGCTGAAGTATTTTCAAAGGGGGAAATCGAATACAATTTACGACTCCTTGCAACGTTGTGCCCTGCCTAGAGACAAAGGTATCTGCCTTCCTTTGTGCCGTGCCTGGGCATACAGACCCTCCCTAACTCGAAGCTATTCGAGTCTTCTGTACGCTCTCTTCTCCGTACATCAACCGCCTCTTGTTGGAACTATAACCTTGGTAACGGTAGATTATGCTGTACAGGCACTGCCTCAGCTGAGTCACGTCAAACGTCTCGATGAACCTCATGTCCGTGATCCTGGATTTCGCGCCGGCAAAGTGCTGGTACTCCTCGAACACGGAGGACAAGCACCAACTCTGCAATTTCCTGAGGCAACCCACCAGAGAACCTGTCCGATGCTGCACAAGGACGAAAGAAAAGACACATTAGCTGAAGATAATGCCCGACAGTAGGATCAATATCTACACGATCAAAGTGAGAACCCTTGAGGAAAAGAAGAAAGATAGGCGGGAAATATTGAGAGAGAGGAAATCAACATGTGAAGGGATGAGAAGACCATAATTCAGGCCAACAAGTTAGAGAACCAACTTGGTTGATAGCAGAAACAGAAGCAGATGCATAGAAAAGAAGAATCATTCTGAGAATTAAGCTGGATTGTCCAAGAAGATTATACGTCAGTAGCAGCCGAAGCAAAACACCGACCCATCGATGGGGCGTGTTCCACGGACTGCGACGTTATATATAGATGCATAATCCCCTAAATCTAATGTTAGCATCCAAAGATTTTCAACAATACCTTTCCACGCTTGCAGTGGATCAAAACTGGGTGATTCCTCACATCTGCAAGCACAGAGAATTGAAAGTGAGTCCCATTCTGGAATAATTTACCCACACATGCTCATAAACACACAGTTACATTTCCCAGACTAAGAAATCATCCGCAATCAAAAATTGAAATGAAAGACACATGCTAAGCACATGTTGTCATACCAATCAGAACTTTAAGAGCTTCCATGATGGTTTCCTGAGGAATGGGTACAAAAGGCTCCTGCAAATGCCAAGTTCGATTTTCTCTCAGAACTGATCCCGGGTAACCATAGACGTCAACCATACACAACTAGAACGGGCAAACCGAGAAATTTTCATATCTTAAAGCACAAAGAAGGAGGCTTCAGCTAAGAATCTATTGGATAACGTAGAGAATGAACCAGAGGTTTCCCATTAAGATAGGCATATACCGTCTTCCCTTCGATCCCAAATTGGAAGAGACGAATGTTTTGGGAGCGCAAGAAGCTGAGATTCTCCTCCGGATAGGGCTCAGTGCACAGGTATCTGCAGATACATACATAAACCGCAACCATTCCAGAATTCAGCAACATAAGCAACATGATAGAGAAAAACGAGAGAGACGCACAAAAGAAAGAACACCAATTTGCAAGCATGCATTGATCTCCACAAAACATAAGACAAAAAGGCCATGTTTATATTCAGTCAAAACAAGGACGAGGTGAGCCTGATTACACGATGGAGCGAAGCTGGAGGGATCGAAGGAAGGGGAAGTTGAGGGAACCAGGGAAGCCAGATCGGTAGATGCCTTCCTCCACCATGGCGAAATTGGTCGGCGGGCTCAGGCTCAGCCCCATTACACCCTCTCCTCCTCCTCCTCCTCCTCCTCCTCCTTCGCGAACCAAGCACATCTCGATCCGGACTCGCTCTCCTTTTCCTTATCACCAGATCTTCGCTCCTTCTCGGGTCCTCGTTAAAACGCTCTCGCGCACCCAAGACACAAAGCCAAATTGCCAAGAAGAGAGAGAGAGAGAGAGAGAGAGAGAGAGTTGTTGATGGGTGTTGCTGCTACGAACGATCAAGAAAGAGAGAGACAGAAGAAGAAGCAGAAGAGGAAGACGACGACGGTGGGTATGCGTGCATGGGGTTTGCGAGGAGAGTTAATGGCGGGTTTTATATAGAGTGATCGAAGAGAGAGAGAGAGAGACTCCTTTTCCGAGTCGAATTCTGTCGGACGAGGACGAGGAATTAAGTTGGATTCCGTTTGGTCGTTTCGGCGGCGCGGTCGTTTTCTTGTTCGGCGGCTCCTCGGAAGAAAATCTATAATATATAAATCGCCAGAGAGATTCAAACCCGAACGTGCGGCATGAATTGACATATTTACTTACGATATGGGACCGCCCGCTGACGCAGAGACCCGTCTATCCGAAAAGCCCACGACATGCCCGGCAAGTCTCGCGAATCAATTAAATCTAGGCCTTCGATTTATGCGGGCGGGTTCGACCCGGAGCGGCTTATACACACTTAAGGGATCTGAATGCGCGGCTTCCAGTTTCCGAGTTAAGAATCCCTCGACGTCTCGATCAACTGTGCCGGTCCTGAGAGTTATGAGTTGGCATTTTTGTGCGGAAATATTGAAGAATACCCATTTGGGCATTTGTTAGTTCTTACTCGATATACTTAGGAAATTTTAATTTATTGTTTAAAGGCTACCTTATTAAAACATATCATTAAAATTCGCTTTCAAAGTGTCTCGGAAAGTCTTCTTTCCATTTTCAGTTAACTTAATGAGTGCCCTAGAGGCATTTGTTAACAATTTCCTTTTTGGTTTATCCGGCTGGATAACGAGAGATGTCTATGTATGGATACACAATTTCGAAGCTTGAATATGACATGGTAATTAAGGAGATGCAACATTTTTTTAACGCGCCTATGAAATGACCCCCAATGTAATTTTGTGAATAGGGTTAAGCACATATAGATGTGTTTAAAAGTATGCAAATCCGCTATGTGTGGGAAAATTACCAACAAAGTCCTAAACCTTTTGCAATTGTGTAAATTCAGTCATAAACCTTTTTTTTGGCCAATTCAGTCCTAAACCTTTTGCAAATCAGCCAATTTAGTCCATTTGGCCGGCCGGCGCTGACATGGCCGCCGGCCAGCTGACGTGGCGCGGGCCTGCGTCCACGTGGCAATATTTTAATATTTTCGAATTTTTTCCTTTTTTTTTCTTTTCCTTCTCCCCCCTGGTCTGTCCGGCCAGGGGGGAGGCTCGCCGGCGAGGGCCCAACTCCGGCGAGGCGAGCTAGGCCCTCGCCGCTGCTGGGCGAGCTCGCTCAGCTCCGGCGAGGCTGGCCCAGCTGCGGCGAGGGCCCAGCTCGCCATGGCTGGGCGAGCTCCGCCCTCGCCGCCGCTGGGCGAGCCTCGCCTAGCTCCGGCGAGGGATCTGGCGAGGCGGAGCTCGCCGCGAGCTCCGCCTCGCCGGAGCTGGGCCCTTGCCGGCGAGCCTCCCCCTGGCCGGACAGGCCAGGGGGAGAAGGAAAAGAAAAAAAAGAAAAAAGAAAAAAGGAAAAAATTCAAAAATATTAAAAATATTGCCACGTGGAAGCCGGTCGGCTGACGTGGTGCCGGCCGGCGGCCACGTCAGCACCGGCCGGCCAAATGGATTGAATTGGCTGATTTGCAAAAGGTTTAGGACTGAATTGGCAAAAAAAAGGGTTTAGGACTGAATTGGCACAATTGCAAAAGGTTTAGGACTTTTTTGATAATTTTCCCGCTATGTGTTGACACGAGCAATCCATTAACTTGTTTCAATATCATTAGACATATCGAAGTGTGTCCAAACGGTTTTTAAAATGTCAACTCATGCATGACATGTTAAGTATTCGTATATAAATGGGTCGACGTGATCGCAGCTGGATATTCAAATTAAACCGGAATCCATATCATATCTGCATCATACAAATGAGTTTTGCCTAGCAGTGCTAGCTTCAAGGCTGCGATGCGATGCTTTGAAAAATCTATGCTTTGCATGTCGCTAAATTTTCGTAGTCTTTCTAGTGTTACCCTTTTAAGAGGTTGGGATTCTTTAAATTTAGCAATCTCTATACTTAGCTAAAATTAACTATTGTACCAAAACATCCTTATACATCGAGATAAATTACACCAAATACCAAAACGCATTCATTTTCTCTTTCTCTCTCCATCTCCTCCTCCTCCGTGCCCGCATTACTAGACCCACTATGCGCCACTACTGTCATGACCCGTCACTGCCCACGCCTCCCGTCATCATCGTGCGTCGGGCTGATCTCTTTCTCTCTCTCTTTGAATTCGTGGCTGCCTTGCAAAACATGAGGTCTCAACCACCTTGGCGTCGCCCCAGAACAGACGGCATGGTGAGGCTTCAATCTATGCTTTGTATGTCGATATCATCGGTAGTTTCATCTGAATTTAAAGGATCTCAATACATCATAAGAACTTAGAATGGCATGTGATGGGTTCCCAAAATCATACATGGAAACCCATTTCTATATAAGGAATGCATGGCACGGATCAAAAAATTTCCAACAAATCATCGTACGCGTGAAATTAGTAAGTATTAAGCCAAATCCTTTCTTAATTCCCTATCCTCCATAGGAATTGGCATTTGCTTTCTTTGGAGTTGTTTGTTTTTTCAATTTCGATGAAAAAGAGAGGCGTGGGCTGTAACTCTAGACCCCCCCATTTTGTTTTTGTTTTTTTTTTTTGACTAGGCAACAATTTGGACTTTTACATAAAGATGGGAGAGTAGTTTGACCCGAGCTTTCATCATTTTCTCTCTTCTTCTGTTGAAGGAGAATTGGTCGTATTTCAGCCGAACAATGATATAAATGAGTCGTGAACTTTGGCTTAATTGCAATACGATTTTCGAACTTTTAATTTAATCAAATGTGGTCCTTGAACTTTACCTTAATATGTAATGTGGTCCCTGAACTTTTAATTTATTGATTGTAATTCATAAACTTTTGGTACATGTTCAATTTAGTCCATGAACTATATGAAATTTTTTAATATTATCATTCTATTAAAAAAAGATATTGATTAATCAACCGTCAAGGTGACGGTTGTGTGACATTCTATTTTGTTGGAACAATTCAGACTCATTTTACACACGTACCGATAGACTCTTTGCTCTATTTTTTTTTGGCAAAAGAACACTACAAGTGTCATAACTTGTGTACGGCGCTCACTTTGGTGCCATAAGTTTTTTTTGGATCACTTTAGTGCTAAAATTGTTGAAAAACGATCACTTAAGTGCCAACTCCGGTGCCATACACAATTTTTCGCCGGAAATCCGACGTGGCATTTTTTTATTAATTTCGAAGGCGACGTGGCTGCGAGAGTTGGCACTTAAGTGATCGTTTTTCAAAAATTTTAGCACTTAAATGATCGTTTTTAAAAATTTTAGCACTTAAGTGATCGTTTTTCAAAAATTTTAAGCATGAAATGATCCAAAAAAACTTATGACACTTAAGTGATCGTTTTCCTCCGACTTGGCACCAAAGTGATCCGAAAAAAAGTTATGGCACCAAAGTGATCTCCGTACACAAGTTATGGCACTTATAGTGTCCTTTTGCCATTTTTTTTTTATCTTTTGAATTGAATGTCACGTTAGTGTCATGAAAGAAAAGAGCTAGACCAGTTAAAATGTCCAAATTTCACTATGTAAAAAGGAGAGAAGTAAAAAGTAAAATCTCCGGAAAAAGTCGGGGCAAAGATCGCAGAAACCCTACGATTCCAATTCCATGGCGGAGACCTCCGTCCGCCGCGCCGTCCGCCGCGAATCCTCCGGCGGCGACCGGCAGAATCGCGCCAAAAGAAGCCGTCCTCCTCCTCCTATGGGCCCTAGGGATCTCATCAGCGCCTTGCCAGACGCCGTGATCCACCACATCTTCTCCTTCCTGCCCCTCGAAGACCTCGTCAGGACCGGCGTCGTCTCCAAGCGCTGGCAGCCGCTTGGACCGCCACCGCCCACCTCGTCTTCGACAACCTCCGGCCTCGCCATCGCGACCCCTACTACGCGGACTTCCCGTCCCTCGTCGACAGCGTCCTGATCCGGTGCACCTCGCCCGCGGTGAAGAGGTTCCACGTCACCATCTTGGAGTGCGACGAGGCCTACCGCCCCAAGCTCGACCTCTGGCTCCGCTTCGCGGAGGGTCGCCGCGTGGAGGATCTCCGCCTATGCCTTCATCTTCCTCAGCTGAAGGTTCCTTATAAATTGCCGCGGTTCTTGTATTGCTTGAGTCGGTTGGTGCGCCTGGAAGTCAAGGGCTGCTGTCTTTCGTTGGGTACTGCTGTTCGGTGGCCTTGTCTCAAGGTCTTGTCGTTAGGATGTGCGGAGTTGAGTGATGATATCCTGGAGGGGATTGTCAGGGGAAGTCCTGTTTTGGAGTCCCTAGCGTTGCACCATTGCAGGGGCATCAAGAACATTGTTATAGATTCGACAAGCGTGAAAGAGTTAATACTCACCAATGGCGGATTTTGCTGTCGCTGCGGGCAGCGGGGATTTGGGGTCTTACTTCCGTGTTCAGACTTGATGACGTATCTTCTTTGGTGGAAGCCGAGTTAGATTTTGTTGTGTGTGCTGACAAGAGCCGCGACTTGTTAAAGGAACTTCTTGAGAAGCTGCGCGGAGTTTCTACAATCACCATTGACGGTTGCTATGGTTGGTGTTTGCAGGTACCAGCTCAGTATTTTTGCCCCTTTCTAAGACCGACTTGTGTTGAATGTTGTCTGTGATTAGCGCCATCTAGTGCTGTATGGTCCCCCGGTTGAGTGACCTCCCAGCTTTCTTTGGCATTCTAGTCGTTTGTCAAGGGGAATCATCGTGAACAGGATGATTCGTAACTTTATGTTTCGAGTTATTAAGTAAGAAAATATGGTGAACCTTGGAGCTTCTTCCCTCTGTTTAAAATTTCGAACAAATGGATCTGGGATCACTCAATTAGGGACAACGAATGCCACTATATATTGCTAATTGTTATGGATGCTACTCAATGCGACACTGTCAGATGCTTGATTTTCACAGGAAAAATGCATGAAGAGATTATTTGAAAAGGTTACATTTTCCCATTCGCTCTTTCAATTTATAGAAAAAAATACAATTATATGGAAAGATAACGAAGAGTAATGATTCGCTCCAAAAAAAAAAAAACGAAGAGTAATGGACTTAGTCATCTT